TAGGCATGTGTATCCTCACCCTCTCTTTCGTTCTCTCTTTTTATTGCCACCCCTCCCATCAGATGTGTGCGATCTCTTTGGTCCCACTGCTACATGTGAGACGGACCAGCAAAGTGGAACCAAAACCTGCCGTTGCAACGACGATTACTACATGTTACCGAATAACACCTGTGCCGGTGCATACATTTGGCCTCATTCGCTTTACCCCGTCCCCAAATCTCGCTCTCAGTCTCACCACCCCTCACCTCCTTTCGCAATAGAAGCACCCCCTTACCCTCTCTCTTCCCTCCTCCCTCTCAAATGGCTCCTCCTTTTTTTTATTGCACAGCATGAACGGACAATGTCAGTGGTAAAGAAAGCACAACCCCCGCTTCCCCCCTCTCCCTTCTGCTTCCCCTCTGCCCCCCTCCCCTCCCCCCAATCCCTCCTCCCCTCCCTCCTTCGCCAGCAACATGCATCGTCACGGGCTGTGCCATTGGTTCTAGCTGCGTTGGAGACGTTGCTGAAGATATGTACTGCGCTGGTACGTAACAGTCTGAGACGTCTCAGAGCGGTTGGATTGGCTCTACTTTATCCTCTTTCTCGTGTCAATTTATTCTCGCCTTTCATTTTTCCGCCTTTCATTTCAATACTGGTAGAAATTCCAGCCTTTTGATTGTTTGTTTGTAAAAGTACACAAAGTGGTGCCCTATTTCCCCGAAGCCATGCATTTCCTGATAGTACCATTCCATGAGATGGTGCTTTGGGTTGTTCCGAACTACTTCCCTTCCTTCGCAATTGGTACTTACTTGCGTTTACCCAACTTTCTTTTTGTGTATCCTCCTTGTCAGATAATTGCAATTTCAAGGAATGTCAATACGCGGTTGTGTGTGTCAAAGACGCTTTATCTGGAAAGGCTTCCTGCCAGTGCAGCACGGGCTTTACCATGCAATCTGATGGCACTTGCAAAGGTGCGTATTGGTGGTTTCCTTTGCTTCACGTGGCGTCACTTGGTGCTCCCTCCCTCCCTAGCCCTCACCAAGGGATTGATGACAAGTGTTGTTTTGAAGAGCCTCAAAACATGTCGAGAAACTGTCGAGAGATCGTGACCAACACCTGCTAAAAGCATGCGCAATCAAGCAGGGTGGCAAAGCTTGTGAGAACTGTCGGCACTGCAACCTGCGTATGTATGTAGCACGTGGATACACTGGCAAATGTGCACTTTGTCGCGGTACTTTGCACACCGTTTCATTTTTGTCACGCTGTCTCTCCCCGCTCATCCCCTTCCTCTCTTCATCTCATCTCATCCCCCATTCTCGTCCTCATCCCCGATATGCACTCTCTTCACCTCTCTTTCTTGCTCCCTTCATATGTTCTCCATCCCTCTCTATCAAATGACTGCGAAACTAAGGACTGTGGTGAGCGAGGAGTGTGCGAGCATGACCCTGTCACTTTAGAAGCCATCTGCATTTGCTTTATGGACGGCACCGTCATGCTGCCAAATGGGACTTGCATTGGTGCGTACGTGATCTCCCTCGCACTCTCTTCCCCCCTCCCCTTCACTCCCCCCTCTCTACCTATTCAAGAAGCATCATTGATGTGCCATAGCTATAATTGATAACTCTCCCCCTCTCTATCTCCCCCGTCCTCTCCCCACCAATCATCTGCCAGACAAGTGCTGGGAAAGGTGGTGCTGGCCTCCAGCCGTTTGTCGTGGCGATATTACCTGCACATGTGGCGATTACATGATTGGCGAGCCTGGATCTTGTCTCGGTACGTTGTGTATGGGAGTACAGGAAAGGAAATGGTTGAGCCGCCTTTGCACCGGAAGTCGTCCGACTAACAATTGTATTGTTTTTCCCACTACTCCTACAATTTGCAGTCGTCCATATTTCCACCATCTCAACTCCATACAATAAGCTTGTGTTAACTCCTACGAATTCATTGCTCAGCCCAAACTGCATGCTGACATATGCAATGTCAACAGCTGAACGCCGCTAGACAACATGTGCTCACCTCCCTCTCTCCTGCATACCCCCTCTCGTGCCATCCATCCTCCAGCAACATGCGATCACCCAGACGTGAATTGCAGCGCAGAAGAAGACTGTATTCCTCCAAGCATGGAGAAGCGGACCCATGCTAAATGCGTGTGCAAGGATGGATACCTTCGCAGAGAGACACACGTTTGTGCCCGTACGTATGCTCTTTTTTCATTTTTTGCCATTCTTCTCTCTTCGTTCCTCTCAAGCGGTCATATTTTAGAAAAGGCAAAGGTGTACAAGCGTTGGCAATTAAGACCGATGTAGCTAGACAAATCGAAGCAACTCATATGCCATAAACCACACGGCCTCTTGCTTTTTTCCTTGCCTATGACAACCCCCCCCCCCCCCCCCCCCCCGACTACACAAGAATACCCCCAACCAAGCAACACCCCCTACCCCTCCTTTCCACCGATCTGTCGCTAGGAAAGGAGGGGTAGGGGGTGTTGCTTGGTTGAAACTCTCCCTCCTCCCTAACACCCTCCACATCCTAGGTCTGCTGCACCGCAGCATATGCTGGCATGGGTCCTGCCGAGAGTGTGGGGCCCACGGGTCCTGCCGAGACTGCGCCGTAGTTGCCTTTGATAGGAGAGATTTGAGAAGGGAGGGGCTATCTGAGGAACCACTCTCCCCCCCCTCCCACTCCCCCCCTTCTCTCTCTTTCTGTCTCACTCTCTCCCTCTCTCTCTCTCTACCTTTGCACATTCCAATCTCCCACATACCCCCTCTCACCAACCATCTGCCAGCAACATGCAAGATTCTGGCCGATCCGTATAGTCCCACACCGTGCGGTTATTTGGAAGAATGCCGTGAAGACCTCCCGAACGGGATCGCTGGAAGCTGCGAGTGTGTGGCTGGATACTATCGCCAAAACGGAGAGTGTGCTGGTACGTACGTATGTATGTGCTGTCCTTTGTGCTGGTACGTACGTATGTGCTGCTGTCCTTTGTGCTTATATTGTCGTACGTATGTGCTTGTATTTTCGTATGTATGTTCTTGTATTTTCGTATTTATGTGCTTGTATGAATGAGGTTTGTGTGGCTCACAGAAAATGTTCATGACCTCTATACAGGAAATAATATTCTTGCACAATACCACAGCTCAATTTGAGCAATCAGGAAAAGTTTGATGTTTCTTTCAAGCCAATCCCACTTGAATAAGTACCATTCCCCCTGCTGGATTGCAGGTGATTTTGAGTGGACTCAGAAAACACCTGCTGGTTTGCCTCTGTTGATTTATGGAAGAGCGGTGGGTGTCCCATCCTGCATGCCTCACCTGCTTACACACCCTGTTTTCTCTCCATCTGTGTCCAGACTTTCTTCGTGACGAATGCACCGCTGACAACTGTGGTAATGGCAATTGCGTTGAGCACTATGACAAGTACTGGTGGTGGAACAAGAATACGCCCTTTCAATACTACAAGTGCAACGATGGTTACACGCCGGATCCAGTCTCTGGAAATTGCATAGGTACGTACGTGCAATGGATTCAAAAATGACCCTCTTTAGTTCTTCCTCTATGTTTCCCTATGTACCCCGTTATCTCCTTTTTTATTTCTCTGGATCTGAGGCATTGCCACCAAGCTTTGTTGGCCTTCTGGTGTTCAGCCTTATGAACTCTTCAAACCCCCCATCTCCCCTTCCCCGTCCACCTCCCCTCCCTGCCAACCCGTGCTGCCCTCCCCTCTCTCCCTCTCATCATAATCAATCTTCACCATCCATCTGCCAGAATCATGCCCGGCCATGCCATGTCCATATGGACACCTTTGTGACACATCTGGACTCTATCCGGTCTGTAAGAAAGGTGCGCTCCGGAACTTACGCATATTCCATGCAATCATCGTCCATCCAATCATCGTCCATCCAATCATCGTCCATCCAATCATCGTCCATCCAATCATCGTCCATCCAATCGTCATCCATCAAATCCGATCATCGTCCATCCAATCCAATCCACGTGGCAGATGTGGTTTTTCTAGACTATTGCTGGTGGTTGGGAGAAGGTAGACAGATGTCTTGCTTTCATCCCGTTGCTGATTTGTACCTGTACCTTTTTATCCCTCTTGGCAGTTAACTGTCCGGCTAACTGTCCTCATAACTGTGTTTGGAACTCCCAGATGAGCATCCAAGCCTGCCCAAGTACGTGCTGATGGTCTCATTTTCTCGTCCCGTTGCCTTCCCTTTATCATTCACTCTTGCGCGCATTCCACTCCTGACCCCATCTCCCCTCTCCTGATGTCCTCTTTCTGTCGTTTTGCTCCTTCCTGCGTTTCCCTTCTCCACTTTGCTGCCTCACTTGCGTGGCTGACCCACGTGTTCGTCCGTTCCTGCTCCATGTCACATCCACACCACCACGCCTCCTGCCAAAGGTCATTGCATTAGTGGCGATGTAGGTTACTTTCTCTCCCCTCTCCCCCTCTCCCACTCTCCCCCTCTTCCCCTCTTCCCGTCTTCCCGTCTCCCCCTCTTCCCCTCTTCCCGTCTTCCCGTCTTCCCCTCTTCCCTCTTCCCCTCTTCCCCTCTCCCCCTCTTCCCATCTTCCCCCCTTCCCATCTCCTGTCTCCCTCCATCCATCCAACAGACACATGTGAAGCCATAAATTGTGGACCATTGGAAGAATGTGCGATGGTGGGAGGCGTGCCAACCTGTAAATGCAGGAGTGGATACGTAGGCCAGCCGGGATCTTGCGCTGGTATGTGGAGTGCTTGTTTTTTCCACTTTATTCTCTTTACTCACTTGCGTTCTTTGCCTTTCTTTCTCTCCCTCCTATGCAATGCCTCTCTAATTGATATTCTTCTCTCTTTTATTGTCACTCGTATCGCTGCCTATCTTGCTCGTTTGTCATAACCTCTCTGTCATGCTCTCTCTCTCATCCTCTGTATCGTTCTCCCACTTCCTATCAATCATCAAATCCAACTTGCAGCAACATGCAATGCTCTCTACTGTCCCCCTAACCAACACTGTGTGGAGAAAGTCCCTGGAGGCGCTGGGACTTGCGAATGCGCTGCAGGATACGTCGCGCGAGGCAAATACTGTGATGGTATGTAGTATGTTTGGCTTTCCATTCCTCTTATTTTTTCCCTCTCACTTTCCTTGCATATTATCTCTCTCTTTCCCTCTTATTACCCTCCTTCCTCTACCACCGTCCATTCCCCTGCCTCACCTCACTATCCCTCACCACCTCTCTCGTTCTCCCCTCTCTCTCCCACTTACCAGCAACCTGCGCAGTCTATGAATGCGGTCAAAACGAAGTATGCGAGATGGTGAACCTCACACCAACGTGCAAGTGCAAGCCAGGATATCTTGGGGGCCCTCCATGGTGCAAGCGTATGTACCTCTCCTCTTCTCTCCCCCTGGATTCTCCTCTTCTCTCCCCTCTCAAGTCGTTTCTGTATCGATGCCTATGCAAACCCATAGTCAAGGTGGGCAAGGTAGCATCTCAAATCAACCATGTGCCAGCGTCCCCCCGTCTCTCCCTCTCTCTCCCTCCCCCGTCTCTCCCTCTCTCTCTCTCCCCCGTCCCTCCCTCTCCCTCTCCCTCTCCCCCCATAAACCCTCCCACCATCTGCCAGCACCGTGCTCAATACGAGTCTGTGGTCTCAATGAGGAGTGTGTGGAGCGAGATGACACGTCATACTGTCAATGCAAGTTTGGATACACGCGCGTTTCTTCTCACACCTGCGCGCGTACGTAGCCTGTTGTCACCTTCACACACTGTGCTCTCACACACGCTCCCACACACGCTCTCTGTATTGTGTATGCAAAAGGTTGTACAAGCTAGTGTAGAAAGCACGATACAGAAGGAGAGGACTCTGTCATGTGATTCGGAGGTTGTTTGTAGCCCATCTATCCTTTGTTGACAAGCCATGCAAAAAGCCCTGCAGCCCTGCTTATGGATGTCATGATTAGCAGTGGTGTTTTGGCAGCACTCTTTCCTCAGCCGCCTTTCCCCCCTTCCCCCTCCCCCCTTCCTCTCTCTCTCGAATCTTCCTCCCCCTCCCCCTCTCCCTCGCTGATGAATTCTCCTACTGCCAGCGCAATGCATATTCACGAAGTGTGGGCCCTTCGAACGTTGCAAAGAAACGGATTACGGTGGACAATGCATTTGCAACTATCCCGAATACAAAGGCACGCCCCCGAATTGTAAAAGTATGTGTTTCTTTATCTGCCTCATCTTTTTCCTGCACGCTCATGCTGTCTCCATTCAATTGGTTCCACCCCACTCTCTCCATGGTCTATCCAGCTCTCTGTACAGTGTAACCCACTCTCAAAACCCCACTCTCAAAACCCCACTCTCAAAACCCCACTCTCAAAACTACTTTCCATTCTCTCTCGCCTCTGCCAGGAACATGCGAGTCAACCCCTTGCAATTACGACACTGAAGTATGTGTCGACTCAAGTGATGGCGCAATCTGTGAATGCGCAAAAGGATATGTACGGCACGAGGGCACTTGCACGGGTGCGTTGCGTAGTGTGCTTGTTTTTTTTTTTTTTTTTTTCCTCCATTTCTGCAAAGCGCTTATGTTCACTTTCCTCGCCCTCTCCCCCGTCCCGTCTCTCTCTCTCTCACTCACTCACTCACTCACTCTCACTTTCACTCTCACTCCCTCCCTTCTCACTCACTCACTCACTCACTCCCTCCCACTCTCACTCTCACTCTCACTCTATCTCACTCTCACTCTGTCTCCCTCTCACTCTGTCTCCCTCTCACTCTATCTCCCTCTCACTCTGTCTCCTTCTCACTCTATCTCCCTCTCACTCTGTCTCCCTCTCTTTCTCTATCTCTCTCTCTCTCTCTCTCTCTCTCTCTCTCTCTCTCTCTCTCTCTCTCTCTCCAGGAACATGCGCAGTCACTTGTTGTGATTCCGGTGATGTGTGTATTAATATAGGTGGAATCAAAACTTGTAAGTGCAATCTGGCACCCTACAATTGCACATTTTCTCTCTGTGTCCTCTATCTCCCCACCTCTCCTCTTTCTATCTCCCTCTATCTCTCTCCCTCACTCTCTCTCTCGCCCCCTCTCTCGCCCCCTCTCTCTCGCCCCCTCTCTCTCGCCCCCTCTCTCTCTCTCCCTCTCTCTCGCCCCCTCTCTCTCCCTCTCTCTCGCCCCTTCTCCATCTCTCACCCCCTCTCCCTCGCTCTCTTCCTCCCCAGGGCTAGTAGCACCGTACCTTTACTTTTACTGAATCTAGGGTTGTAATGGCATTGTACCTATTGGGATTGCAACTTCCTTTCAGGTCCGAGTTTGTTGGAATGTCTTGAGCTGCACTGTGGGGGCTCTTCATGGAAATCTCTGGACTGCACCACGTGTCTTATGTTTGGGAGCATGGATTACACCTACAGACCGGAATAGGTACGTGCAATTGGAATCACTTGTACATCTCCCGTTCCCCCCCTCCCCTCTTCCCCCCTCCCCTCTCCCCCCTCACCCCTCCCCTCCCCTTTTCCCCCTTCCTTTCCCCTCCCCCCCTCTCTCAACCCTGTCCTCTCTCACCCCTGACCTCTCTCACTTCTGTCCTCTCTACCCTTTTCCTCTCTCCAGTATCATTGTATCTAGTCTCACCTCTAACTTTAGATGTGTTCTTGCCACCTCTCCTCTCTCATCCCCCTCCTCTCTCACCCCTCTCCTCTCTCACTCCTCTCCTCTCTCACCCCTCGCCTCTCTCACCCCTCTCCTCTCTCACCCCTCTCCTCTCTCACGCCTCTCCTCTCTCACTCCTCTCCTCTCTCACCCCTCTCCTCTCTCACCCCTCTCCTCTCTCACCCCTCTCCTCTCTCACCCCTCTCCTCTCTCACCCCTCTCCTCTCTCACCCCTCTCCTCTCTCACCTCTGTCATCTCTCTCCACTGTTGGCACTTGCCTCTTGTCTCTCCACCTTATCCTCTCCCTCCCACTTTTCCTCACTCTCCCCTTTCTTTCCTTTCCACTCTCTCCTTTCCTTTCTCCCCTTTCCTTAATGAAGACCTCAAGGCCAGCTGAAGGAAGGCAGTGAAGGTGTACCTGCAGGTGGAAGAAAGGGCTTTGATGGTCCACAAGGAGGCAAAATCCTTTGGGAAGCCATACCTTTTGAATCCTCGTTGGTTTTATTCCCACGTTTGGGGTGTGCGTTAGAGCAGTGTCGTTTCTGTGTTTTAGTGGGCTATTTTCAAGCTTGGTGGGCTGTTTACGAATTTGGTGGGCTGAACGTATTTATTTTCTTTTGTATGTGAAGCAACCTTGGTGGGCTGTTGGTTTTTCTTTTCTGTTTTGTATGCCATTTTCGGTTTGATTTTATTTATACAATTTGGTGGGCTGAACATCTTCCTTTGTTTTGTTCCTGAGGTGTTTGACAGCACTGCATGACATAGAGAGCATGGTCTACGTAGAAGAAGTATGGTCCAGGCTATGATTCTGGTTGTGATTTACACCCTCCTCCCCCAGCGTCTTAAGACCGTAGTACCACCCCAGTGTATTCCATTCCACTGCTTCGAAAGCCAGTTGCTAGAATGGCAAACCCAGCATGCGCTTGAACCTGGCCTGCTCTCCATGAACCAAAGACACTTCTGTCAGGCTTTTCGTGCGCAAGTGCAGCGCGTTAGCACGGGCATGCTATCATGGTTGCTAGCTTCATGGTTTTCTAATAAAACACTAGACTGTGGTTACTAAATGCCTTTGAATGTAGCAATTCTTACACAAGGTATCTTGTGTCAACCCTTTTTTAAATTTTGCCTAGCTATCTAAGGATGTTATCTCTAGAAACTCTTGACTACCCTCTGACTCTGAGTACTGTACACCTTACTTTTGCCACCTAATCTCTGAACCCACCATGCTGCTTACAGCCTTCTTGGCCATGGAAACCAGGGAAAGCGGATGGAGAGATAATGGAAGATACGGACGTTTGTGAAGGAGATGAGTGCAGCGTTTCCACTGTCATCACCCCCGTCGATGCTGTGCTGCTGGTATCCGCTGCACCAGCAACAGCAGCCCCACACTCGCCCCTGTTTGCAATTCCTCCTTGCATCCTCTTAGTCAGATTGCAGCGGCCTCTGGCCCCAGCAAACCGCTCTTTGCTCATCAGAGCCGCTTGTTGCAACAAAGGAGCCTGCCTATACCGAACGATCTCTCCTCCCTGACCCCTCACCCAGGGATCGCTCAAAATTTCCTCAGCCGTTGGTCGCATATCAGGATCCACCGACAGCATCCGACGGACGAGATTCTTCGCCTGCTGCGACACAAACCACCAGCAGGAATCCTCCCAGTCCCTACTCTCATCCAATCGCCGCACCCCACCATCAAAAGACGGCCAACACCCAGACAGCATGGCATAGAGGGTTATCCCTAGGCTCCAGATATCCGCGCTACAGTCATACGCCTCTCCAGCAATCATCTCAGGAGCTTCGTATGGGAAGCTTCCTCCGTACCCCACGGCTTCTTGATCGGCGCGCAGGCGGACTGAGATGCCGAAATCCGCCAGCTTGGACGTGTAAAGCCGTAGATCGTTCATGACTTGATCATCACTGCTATTAGTAGTAGGAGCAGCAAGAGAAGTAGTACTATTCCTGCTGGTGGGGCTGCTGTTAGGATCAAAAGACGACATTTCGTTGCATGAAGCATGGTCTTCACGCGGTTGTGCAGCTGTCGCAGCGGCACCGCAGTGACTCATGATGCCATGGCTGTGCCGCATTTCACGCAGCGGCTTGGGACAAAGGAGGACGTTTTCGAGCTTGATATCGCGATGCAACACGCCGCGTTCGTGGCACTGTCGCACCGCCGTGGCCATGTCTCTAAACACGTTGCGCGCCTCGCGCTCGGGAATCCGGCCCCTCTCTTCCATGCGGCGCAGGAGATCTCCTCCCGCGCACAGATCCATTACTAAATACAGCGACTTGGACTCCGCGTCACGGTATACGTCTTTAAGCTCCGCCACGTGGCTGCAGTCGTCTAACAGCAACAAATTACGGATTTCTCGTCGAGCCGCGTGCATGGCTCTGACGGGATTTTTCAGGTTGAGCGAGTTGCCGACGAGCTTACAAGCGAACTGCTCTCCCGTGGCGCGATTCC